ATAAATTCGCACATATATTTAAGCCTTATTGAGGGCAGGCACTAGATATCTTACTGCCTGATGTAGTCTCTGTGGGTCCTAAATTCTGAGACTCGATGCGACCATACGAGCCCTGGTTCTGGCTTTATGTGAATAACAGATCAGTTATTCTTAATTCAAATAGTCCAATAATATAGTTTGGGTATCATCAACAAAATCTATTTTTAGCATATGAAAAGAAATTTGTAGTTAATTTTTCATCGTCAGCATTTTTTAGCGCATTTAATTTAAATCTGTAATCATCGCCAAGCGTCATGTCAACATAAAAGTTTACCATATTCCTTTATTATTAAATTACTAACATAAAAAATTGTTTAGGCATCGCGACATGAGTCGTTACTCAAGTTATCATGTTTTGATAAACATGCGGTGATGAAAGGAAAGTATAATGAAAAATGATTCGCCAGGTTGGTGTCAGATCAATGATGTATCTATGTGGAATTTTTCGGTTTGAGATGTGTGGCAAGCAGATATGCAGCAATAGAGCCAAATTACTGATCGTACAAATTTATGCTAAAATGATTGTTTCTTCAATAACAAGGTATTTTAGTGCCAGAGTGAAATTAAGAATCGGAACTCTCCAGATGTTTTATTATGTGCGGAGGGGAGACTCAAATGCGCATGCGTAAAGCCTACTAGAAAAACATTCTTGGTGGTTTTGAGGTCTGGATTTCAGACTTTGTACCGTATGTATATATATATATCTTAAATAAATAATTTTTAAAAATATTATTTAAATCAACGTATTCTGAAAAGTAATAATTTCGGTTTAATCATTTGTCTTTATGCTGTATTACATACTTAAATATTAAATTAATTTTTGCAATACATTGTATATATTATAAGCTGCCTATTAAAACATAATTTTTCATTTTCATACTTTTAAGTTAAATATTTTACTCATGTAACTATAATTATTAAAGATATGTTTAAAAAATTAAGGGCTAATGTAATGTGTATCAAAAGCAGATGTTCAAACACATAAAACTATTTCATAGAAATACTGTAAATTTTTAATAAACCAAGAACTGAAAGGGGGGGAAAACTATATATGTGTCACAATCTTTTGGACAATCCTAGAAAACTATATTATATATGTGTTACAATCTATTAAACAATCCTAGAAACCAGTTTTCCTGCACAGCAATTTTTCACAATATTCTGGCAGTTCTGCTGTTTTCCTTATCCTGTCTGCTTTATAAGTTGTGTAAATATTGCACTTAACTCTTTCCAGCCACTTGTTAGTTTGCTTAGCAGAGAATACATGCATGTTAAATATATTCAAGGCTTAATTTCTAAAATCAGAATTGCCTGAGCCCTATGGAAGGCAATAGGAAGGAGGAAAATAACTAAAAAATAAAATTGACTAATAATTAAAACAATTAAATAATTGAATTAAAATTAAATAAAATATAAACATGTAAATAAAAATTTAATAAATTATTAAATTCATGATAAATAGTTAAATAAAATATCGGGCCTCGTCTTATTTGGAGCATTCAGAAAACTAAGCAATGGCTTAGTCAGCCTCCAGCTGAATTCAAGTCATGAATATATGGTATAATGTACTATTTTAAGAGATTGAGTGAAACAAAAACCATTCATTTTTCAGTGCATGAATGGAAAGAAGTAAATCGATTAAAGTGTTACTACTGAGAATAGAATGATTACTAGAAACAATATGAGCATACAGAAACAATTTTAACGGAGAAGTGTAGCTTTGAAAACAAAGAGAGAAGAGTCTAGCTGTCAAGCAGAATGCAGCTGAGCAAAAAATATTCCCTCAAATCCAATTCGGTAACAATATGAGAACAAACATAAGGTCTGCACATGTGAAAGTCTTGGTCCCTTTATTTGGTTACATAATTGAAGTCTGCAGGAGCTCTGGATGTGCACGACCAAAGTAACTACTTTTAGTACTTTCAGAACCAAACCTTTTTCCTGCTCCTTAAATTCATTGGTGAATTAGCCTTTGAAAAGTAGATTGGGGGGGGGGTTCTTTTCTTAAAAGTCTTAACACCTCTGTCAAAGTGTTTATTCTCCAGAAGAAGTATGTGGAAGCAGAAAAAAGTATGCATTTGGGAAGTTATAATCACATACTTATTTTTAAAATAAAATTTGTTCACTAAAATTGTGTTTCATTTATGCAAAAGAAGTGCAGGAGCTCTTTTATTTATGGCCGAGATGTGCTTCGGCTATCATCACGAGTTACCTCAGAAACTGAGAAGTACTGGAGCCAGTCTCTGGCACAATTTAAGTTATTGATGTATTGTATAAAAAGTGTTTATAAATGCCTCCCTTAAATTTTAAATATTTTTTAAAAATTAAGATTTTAGAAAAAGCATAAGAGAAGCTTTATCAGGCTTGTTTAAGATGGAAGTTATTCAGGCAGAACATAGTTCAATGACATTGAAAAAATCTAGTCCGAAATTTTCCAGTTGCTGAAGGGATCTTGAAGAAATAAAAAGTTCTACCAGAAAATTCTACAGTGGCGATGATATGCATTCAAAGAAATAATCTAGAATTTTAAAGATTTTACATTCTTTAATTTTTAATTAAAAGAAATGTGAGCTTCTAAATTTACCTATTGTTTGCAAGTTAATGAATGAAAAACACCTATTCTCAGAGTTTGATATTGGAATTTTTTTTAAAGCAGGAACTGAAAGGTTATTGTGTTAATGGAGAAAGTGCAATAATTGAAAAGTTAATTGTAAGTGCATGATGCACATACCCAGTTTAATTGATGGCTATAATATAAAAGTTATTTTCAGCTGCAATGAATGTGGTTTTTATTGTTATCCTCAGCTGATTCAAAAACATAAAACATTGCCATGTTCATATTCAAACAACCAAAAAAGCATGGTTAACATTTTGGATTTTATGAACTTTTCGAATGGTTCGATAAAATGATAGAAAAAACCTCCTATCGTTGACACATGCACCATTTTTTTCTTGTTAAAAGTGCAAACTGGTTTCACTCATTAGATCTTGGGATTATATGGTTAGTGAAAACAAAGAATTTTAATGTGAAGAGTTTGTGCAGCTTTCAGACAGAATAAAGAATATTATGTTTCAGTTCTGGGTGCCATACACATGCCAGTTTCATCCTGCAATCAAGTGATACTCCACACAATCTGAGCAGTTTAAAAAAGCAGGGGTTTCTTTTAATTTGAATGGCAGACTATCAAATGATAGAGAATTCAATACAGATTTTAATATGTGGTTGTAACGAAAGGTTTCTGCCAGAAAAAGTTCTCAAGTTAGGGGGAAAAAACATGAAAATAGTATCTTTAGTGTGGGTAGTAATCACCACCCAGATCTATATCTTTTTCCGCGACATTTCAAAGCCTTCGGCCCAGAAATTTAGTGGCTGCAAGTCCAAAAACAGATAATTTTGGACATCTTGTGCAGAATGGAAGATAGCACCAGCAAGATGTAGCTGCAGGTGTGAAAAAAGATAGAAGTTGGAAGGAGCGATGTCGGGGCTATATGGTAGATGTGGCGAAAAAATTCCATTCAAGTCCATACAGAGTCCAGTCGGTAAATGCAGAAACATGTGGTCTTGAATTATCTTGATGAAATATTACCTTTTTGTACTGGAACTCAGTTCGACATTTTTTCTTGACAGCAGCATCAACACAGACTAGCATCTCGCTGTACACCTTATTGTCAAGTATTTTACATTTTTTCAGATACTCTTTATGGATAAAAATCTCATCAGATAAAAAAACATGATCTTTTTGTTAGTGAAATTGCGCTTTGCGACACTGCCGATGGGCTCACCGGGCACTCCCTTTTCAGTCTGTGTTGTTGAAATAAATCCATTTTTCATCACAAGTGACTATCTGGTCTAGAACATTGCCCTTGTATTAATATTCAAGCAGATTAGTGTATGCCCGAAAATGTCTGTCCTAATCTGCTCGAGTCAGCTCATGCAGCATCTAGCGATTGATGCTGCATCGCTAGATGACATTAATTTGACATCAATCGCTAGATGCTGCATCTGATGCATAGCGTGATTAATGGGCATGGCACTAACATCTAACTCCTTAGCAAGCTCTCGAGTGGTTGCATACCAATACCTATAAATTCTCGCAGGCAGGCCTCATCAACATCACATCAACCAGAGAATGTTGTGGTCCTTGTTTTTGAACTTTCGGTACGAAACCTTCAATCTCATATGATACAACATTAGTACCTAAAGCTATACACGTGATTTAGTGACATCCTGAAGCTTTTTTGCAATACAACTAAAACTATATGATTGTTCTAATCTGGTAGCATGACATTTCAATTTCATCGATTCAACCTTATCGATATTTTTTTACAAATTTCACAACATAGTGTTCTAAAGAGCAAGTCTCTCTTTCAAATGCCAATGCAAACTGTCTGCGCAAGCGATATTTGCAGGGGCGAGAAACTTTCTTTAAAACCCGATATTATAAAAAATGAAATAGTGCGACTCAACTGCTTTTCAAGATTATGCCAATGTTGATGAAAATCTATTAATAGTTGTATTAAGGAATGTTGAAACAAATGATGGTAGGTGGAGAGAGTAAGATGAAATCGTTATTTCAACTGTGTGACATTTCATAGTATGCTTAGAAACATTCATGCTTTGTTTTCAAAATACTGATGTATTATCAAGTGTAGTGATATTCTTTAAGAACTTAGAGCAAAACTTTTTAGAAGATTAATTAACATTTTGTAATTTTTCTTTTAGTACAAATATTTAATCAATATACATAAACTTTTATTGAAAATAAGAATTATGATTGAACTTAATTAATCAATTTTTCATTATGCATGTGGAAGTGAAAATTTCAGAATTATAAGGTCCTCTCACTTATTTGCCTTCTTTTATTGGTTCCTTTAGAGTTAAGTGAGAGGTGACTGTTCTTCAATACTATTATGCAGCAACATAGAAATTATTCTGATATTTAAAAAGCATTAAAACAAAATTAAAATCAGGAAAATTATTTTTTTTTAATTGCATGTTTACATTACAAAAGTGTTGAATGTAGCAGCATGAAATTATATAATTCCTGTTAAGAATTTGATTCCACACATCCACTTGAAAGTATAAATGAAAATTATTAAAATATTTACTTTTGATAATGTTATACCTTTGAATACATACACTGTCTATTATTTGCATTTAATTATTTCTGTTTAATATTTGCTTCGAAATAGCAATTAAACCATTTTTGTCATTTGAAAATTTTATTAATACTAAATAATGACACTTTTTCTAAGAAATCTTAAAATGAAATATTTTCCATCATATTAAAAATGTAAAATTTTAAAAGTTCTATATTGCTTTGCTTGAGCTTTACCTTTAATTCCCAAATATTTCATACAAACAAACCTCTAATTCCTATGCACATTAGGAAGAGATATATATATATATATATTTTTTTTTTACAAACACAATAATTTATATATACATCTTCCATTAATATGAGCACATTTAAATCACACAAATATGGAAATCAAACAGAATTTTTTTTTTTTTTTTTTTTGGATAATTTACGTTTATTGACATAAACAAGCAGAAAATCTTTTCCCCTTAAATTTTACAAATTATAAATATTAGAATACAATTTACATGTTCCTGTGTTCACACGTGTATAAAATATTTATTTCAAAATTAGCTTCTAGCATCTAACATTTAATACCAGCAACACCTTAAAATTAATGTGTTTATAAAAAATTCATTAATTTTTATGTGCAGAGAAACTTATTTGAAAGAGATTAATTATATATATAAATGTGTGTGTGTAATTTTTAGTTTATATTATAGTTAAGATACGGTGACAAACTTACTGAATGGTGTACAGAAAACACAATAAGGTAGAATCCCTCTCCAGCTATAATGAAAAATTACATTTTCAAGTAATAGTTATTAAATTTCAAATCTCAGAAATTGACGAAGTCAGTACAACTATAATAATTATAAAACTCAATACACAAAAGTGTGAATTTTTTTACGTTATGTGCTATATGCAATTAATGGAATATTTTTGCACAGTATTATTATATCAATTTCTCAAGAGTTAATATAAAATGATGCATTAATACTCAATAGAAGTCACGTACTAATTTTAAATATGCATTAAAAATATTGCTTCACAGCAAAAAAGAAACTGGCTTTATATAGCAAAATGGAAACGCACATATATGCTTTATCATACATATATAGAAAACTTTATTTAAAAAGTATAAGGTTATAATAGTAAGCACTGCATGAAATATACAGGGTGGTACAAAATTATTGAGCACATTTGAATTGCATGCCACAAATAGACCTCATATGAATATTATTTAATGTTTAAAATTTTGGTGTGTGAAACTGTTTTAAATTATCTTTCCAAGAAAACAAATGTGTACACACCTCAGGTTTGTTCCTTTTTTTTTTTTTTTTTTTTTTTTCTTCTTTCAAATATGAAATGTGCTCAATAATTTTGGACCACCCTTTACTTTTATAAAACCTTTGCATAGATGGGAATGCAAGTAAGAAATTTAAAGTAATTTAAAAAAATATATACTGTTTAAAATAATTTCTTTTTCACTAACACAGATGTACAAAATAATCATACAATTTGCATAAAAATATATTTATATAAAGTTAGCATTCTGAAATAAAAGGATGGTTTAAAGCCTCAGATGCTGTAATTCTTGTCTGAGGATTTGGGTCTAATAACTTATCTAATAAGTCATAGGCACTTTCAGGAATATGTTGGGACATTTCTGGGCAAAATACACAACACAGATTTAGATCTCTCTCATTTGAATATGAATGTACTTGACACGGTTGTTCATGTTGAATCATTGTACACAGAGCTTGGAGATAGCGAGCAGGACTGAGCTGTTTACGTATTTCAGAAATTGATTCTGTAGTTTCTGGTAAATTCATTGTCAAGACTTTACCTAGAATTTAGAAAAATTATACATATATTGTTTATCTTACTGACAAAGTATATCAGTACATAAATTATTCAAAATATATTCCATGATGTTTAAAATTCATTATTAAATTTTGCACGCAATTCAGAAAACATCAATATGATCAAGAAAACTGAATGACAACACAGTGCACATACAACGAAATCCTGCTTCTAAACCTGACTAGAGCACTAAAATAGACTTGCACCTATATTATGGTAATCAGTATTAGTTATCTCCACTCTTGGGGATTGTACTGCCTGGGAAGTGCAATTCTTAGGGACTGATGTAAATATTCAAATGCATAGATTTTTTGTATATTATTTTGTTGCATTTAGAGTAACAATTTTAGGTTTTATATTTCTGTACTTAATGTTGTGGCCTCATGTTTGTGTAAGTTTGGTTTGGTTTTTATGATAATGGAAAAGCACACGAGGACTGTTTGCATAAGGATGCCTTTGTAGATGACTTTCTAAAAGAAACTGCTTAACTTCGCTGAGCCATCTGTATATAGGTTTGGCTTGATTTATGTAGTAAAGGTAAAGCACATGAGGGCTATTTGCCTAAAGGGATGCCTTTGTAGAGGACTTTCTAAGGGAACTGGCTTGTATCCACATTACACATGGAGAAAACCACATGAAAATGCCAACACCTTCTTAAACAGAAGCCCAACTACAAGATTGTGACATCACAAACTGGCGGCTGACAATCGCCGTTGGTCACCTACTATCTGCCTTTAAAGTATATGTTTTTAAAGCTTTACTAACAGGAGGGTATTTTCTAATGATGTAGATACATATTATTTTTCGTTTTTTACTTTATATATATTGAAAATATATATTTTCAATTCATTAGCGGATATAATATTGGAAACATTTTCCTTTGCACAAAATATATTATATATATTAATTTTTCTATGATCTTAGATTGGTATGTTTACAGTTAAAATAATGCTTTAAAGTACTGGTTGACTTTTGATATGTAACAGTAAGGTAAAAGTTGGAATCTCCATCCATACTAATAATATTCAAGTCACTTAACTGCATAAAAAATATATAAGAAGGATGCGTGGAAATATTTTTAAGGATATTAGAAGTTTTTTAATTTTAGCAGGGTAGATTTATAAGTACAAATATTACACGAAAAACCTAAATTTTCTAAACCTTTTATTATTTTCACAATATATCCATGCAAAAATTGCGCTGAAAATGATTTTACTGGGACAATACTTATATAACATCCTTATACGAAGATCTAATACTCTGCAGCATAAAAACACAAGCAGAATTAGCAACATTTTCACAATTACATTTTGCTACATTCTTATTATATTTTCACCTTTGAAATCTAAGAATGGCTTAATGTGAATTTCGTCAACCATTAAAGTTGGACATATTATCGTTTCCGCCTAAAAAGCGGATTTTTTCCTTGCATAATTCAGGAAAAATTTCAGGAGTTTGCTCCACTTTAGGATCAACATTATATTCAGAATACAATCTTTTCAATGTAGAAGGATTGGCAAGTAACATTGCACTATTCTTAAAAATTTGTAGCAATGTGGAGAAATTGAAAACATCAAACTTGATATTAACAGATCAGAACTATACCTATTATTATTTTTATGCAAACGGTAATGTCAGCTGCTCAAATATAAACTGAACTACTTTCTTTTTATGTTCAGGGCATTTTTTTTTTCTAATTCCTGAAGGCCTTGAGTTACGAATAATAAAATTTTAAAGCTGCTTTCATTATTATCACCTTTAATTTTTGCAACTTCTTTAAGCAATGAACAGAGATTATATACATCATTAATTTTTAAAGAAAATTTATGGTTACTAATTTTTGTTAATGGAATATCTCTAAAGTATGCTTCCACAGGCAGATCATTATGGATAACGACTGATACAGATATAAAAGGAGCAAATTCTGTGCTTATCTGGAGAAAAAATAGACTATTTTCTTTAATCACAACTGTTAAATCATCAGGTATCTTAACATTTTTTAGACATGATGTAAGCTCACTCAGATTACTTAATTAATTTTAAAGTAATAAAAGTAGGATTTCTAGTAATGCAATTTATATTTTAACAAAACAGGTAATAGCAAGCATGTGTGTGTTTGTCTCCCACTCGGGAAGAGGGGGGAAGAAAAGGATTCTTACTGACATAAGTTTTAATAATATTTGAATTTTCATGTATTAGGAATTTAAATTATTTCTTGTTTTATGCAAAACTGTGCACTTTATATTACAATTTAAAAAACCATAAGCATATTTATTGCCTTCTCAGTTTCTTTAGAAAAACTTTTAAAACCGAAATATATTAAATATTAAGCTAAATAATTTCATTTGCTGCCATATACGTATGAAGTTAAAAGTTCCAAGTAATAAAATTAATCAAAAAGTAAAAAATTGGACATTTTAAAAAGTAAGTGAATATTTAGAATGCAATTTGATACATAATTATTAACCATACAATTTAATACATAATTATACTAATCGACACGTAATTACACAATATTATACGCAATGTATTCTATAAAAATGAAATTCCTTAATATTAATGTATCCATTCTTTTAAATGTAGAAGCAAATACCTTAATAAATTTAAAATATCAAGTTAGGCTTAACTTACCCGAAAATACTTCGAAATGGTAAAATTTTCTCGCGGTATCGATTTTAACCATCTATGTAATACATCTTGTTGCTTAGGAAATCTATATACTGATACTTTAGAACCGTCACAATAATTTTCTCGACATAACGGCAGACTGCACTTTAAAGGTATGATTGAAATCGAAAAAAAATATCAGTATCAAATTAAGGCGACATGGTTCACGTGCCTTCTCATGACCAGGATGAATTTCCCCTAACTTGCTAATGCCATCTAGAGCCCCGTTCACATGCAATGCTCCTTCGCACAACTGCCGTTAGCAAGGGGAGAAAAAGGAGACATGAAAGAGTTTAGTCTTTAGGACCCGTTCAGAAGACCACCGTCTTCCTTCCCCTTTATACCTAAAGCCTCTGTGAACAATCACGTCTCCGAATTGGCAGATTTCTAATACTGTTCACACATTTTTAACGTGGTTTACTGTTGTTAATTTTGTAATCTGTACTTTCGTAATGGTTCCTGAAAAATGTATGCTTTTTAATTATTATTATTATTTTATAACTGTTTTTTAGTTCCATCTTGGTGCTTGTGCTTGGTTAAAATGGTAATGATTTTTAAACTGCTCCCGATAAGATATGGAACTCAAACTTTGTACATACACTGCTTGTGGATGTGGTGTCACGCTTTGATTTTTTGAGGATTAGATTTTTTTCAAATTTAAAGTTGAAACGACTTTTTGCAAATATTAAATAAACTGAGAATCTCAGAATATTACAGTTTGCACCACAACATACTGTGGAAGAAAAAAAAAATTAAATGAAATTTTTAGCATAATTTTTTTTTAAATATTTTGTGAGAATTTTTGAAAATTGTTCATATTTTTAGACTTTTTGACGCCCATTAATTTTAAAATTTCATATCTAAAAATATATCGGTTACAAACTCCGACATTTTCACAGCTTATAAAACAAACTTTTCACATTTAAAAAAAAAGATAAAGGAAATTAATTGGGATGATTTTTTTACTTTTTCAAAGATATGCAATGAAGCAGAATGGGAAATATTGGTTCTTCTTGGGCATCAATTCGAAACATCGGTTTCAAAAGTAATAATCTCATTATACCACACTATTTTTATCACATATTTATGTTATATAAGTTGTTATTGTTTACCAGTTGTTAGTTCAAGCGTGAGATTGGAGATATTTCTGAGTTAACTTTCTCTTAAGATGCGTTTTGCATTCCATTGTGTTAACGTTCTTATTAGATTGAAGCATAACTACTGATTATACTTAGTGATATTCTAAACACTTTACGAGTATTTCTGTGAAAAATTCCAGAACTTGAAGTGTTTATGTTGAAAATAAATTTAATTAAGCTATCATCGGATTTGAGTACAATGACAATCATTTACGAACTATTATCAATCTATTACAAACCCGTACGCACGCAACAATATTATAATTAATTAATGTATTAAAATTGTTTTGAATGTGTTTTACAAAACAAAAACAGGTAAAGAAAAATTCTGCTTGTGTTTTATGAGTTTTTGCAATTTTTCTGGCCACATAAAGGTTTTAAAAAAAAGGTTTGTAATTTATGTTTATATTTACCAATTGAATAAATAGCACTAGGTTTGTTTTATATACATATGTTTGTATTGAAATTCAGTAATAAAATTTTTAAGATTGAAATGATTAAATGTCTATTTAGACAGTTTGTATTCTTTAAACTGGCAAATGCAAACTGAGAAAACCTTTTTGCACTTTTTTCAATAATCCTTTTACTTAAGTCCTAAAACATATACAGGTATGGACTAAGTTTTTTATTATTTTTACTCCTTATATAAAATTATATACTTTATTGAAACAAGGATGGGTTTTGCAAAATACTGAAAGGAAAAAATTATTTGAAATGAAAAATGTGACCGAGATCATATTTGTTTTAAAGATTTTAGATAAAAGTGTATTTTTTTCCCTCAGAAACTAATTCATTAATTGCAAAATCATTCCTTGAAGTTATTAAGAACACTCTAATAAATACAATAAAAAAACTGGGGTGGGGGAGACATTGAAAATTGTAGGAGACGAAAGACATTTTAATGTAAAATTTTTCTTCAAAAATTTAAATTAAAAAAAATACTAGCAAAAACTTTTTTTCAGCTTAAAATTATCTTGTCTCACAAAACTATTTAATAATATTCATAAAAAGTAGATGAAAATGCTTAAATTTTTTTTAAAAAAATCATTCAAAAGGCATCGAGTCCCTTTTCGCGTTGAAGCCGATATGCACTTGTCTTAACTTTAGTTTTAATTTGAATGATATTTCTGGAATCTAGCATCAGATAACCTTGTCTGTATTTTTCTATAATTTCCGTATCTTGTACAGTTCTATCTAATTTTTGGGGGGATGCTATCACATCCCCAGACATCTATCAGCGTGATTGTTTCGCTGACAGTCCAGCGAGCAGTATAACTAAAATTAAGTCAACCGTGCAGTATAGTACGGGAAATCTCCCTATTTGCCCTGCTCCCGAGAGGTAAGGAACATTCAACCAAAGCTTCTACTTCCAATTTGGCGAAGAAGCAGTTAATGCTTGTCCCATGTGAATGGGACATGTTGGAAGAACCGGTTTTCGCTATCGGTCGAATCTGCTCTTGTGAACGGGCCTTAGATGGCCTTGGTTTAGGAGCGATTTTTCGCACCCCATCGAGAAGGCCAACAGTTTGTGACGTCACTAAACTACGAGCCTTCAGTAGGTAGGCTTGTGTTTAAGAAGGTGTTGAAAATGCCCACGTAGCCAGCCTATTCATGGAGATTTGAACAGCAGTTGAACTAGCAGTATTCAGCAACTTTATTGCTCGGCCTCTAGTGAGACCGTGTTTTTATAGAAGTGATTATTTCTTGTATGGGGCATAATTCAGAAAGTAACAGCTGTTGTGGTACAGCACTAGTAGTAATAGTAACTGGAACACAATCTGTGTTTGAGTAAGCTTCCAATTATGCTAGTGCAAACATCATACTGGTGTGCATTTGATGGTTATGTCACAAAATGTGCACAGCCATCAAAAGTGGATCAGATTTTTCAAAGAGGAAGAACAAATTATGATGATGAACCTAGGAGTGGTAGGCCTTCTGTCATAAGTCATATCAAAGATATTTTTAACAAAGTTCATATGAATTGTGGATTCACAATCTCAGAATTTTTTGGAAAATTTATTAATATGTCTTGGGTTGTTTTGTACAATGTAGTCCCTTAAGAAAAAAAAAAAAAAAAAAAAAAAATTTGTACTTAGTGGGTCCCAAAAATTTTCATGGAGATTCGCAAAACCAGTCAAATGAGCTCTGTCTTAGACTTTCTTTCAAGTATGACATAGAAGGGGAGGAGTTTTTTAACAGAACAGTAACTGCTGAGGTAACTTTGGTGGCATATGTGAAAGCACAAAATTACAGGCAAGGGCATGGGGTTAGTTTGAGGGCCAGCATTTGCTAATAACGAGGATCTTCAAAATTCTGTGACAGGTTGATTGAAATCCCAATCAGGTAAGTTGCATGCAAAAGGGATTTGTAAAATGCTGAAACGTTATGACGAGTGCTTGAATTTACATGGCAACTAAGTCAATAGAATAAAGCTGTACAATTTCATAGAAAATTTTTTATGTATATATATAATTTTTTTTATTTATAGCTAAACTAAGATTACATTCCGAATTAATCTTGTAAATCTTTTAATTCTGAATCCAAGATCATTTTAAATTATTAAAACAGTTCAACTAGAACCTAAGGGTATAGACAAAAACACTCGTAATGGGCCTTGGTGAAAATTTTGATTGCTAAGTTTACAACATTTGGCAATTTCTCACCAACTTAACAATTTTCTGGAAGTTCTTAGAAAAAGCATTTTTAAAGCTTTAGGAACAACTTTTTTCTGAAGCAATTTTATCTGAAGCTTTTAGAAACCCATAACCAGGTAAATATAGCTCTGACAGCCGAGATCAGTTATTAATAAATTCTGAGTACTTCAGTCAGATTATTTACTCTTCAAAATATTAGTTGAATTACATTTTAGACAGTGGTAATTTAGTCCCAAGTGCTGAGGAGGATTTGCCTAACATTCATATTCTCCCTGAACTTTACAGCCATTTTTCTTACTCTGCGTCATTACTGATTTACAAGATATTGTACATTTCTTCCTGCTCGTATCAAATGATTATTTAAATAAACATTCACAAACCCATAACTTACAATAAACTATAATAAAATATATTACTTTTGTCAAATAATTGATACTTTGATATTATTGCAATCACCTTGGTACAAGTCGCCAAACTGCAGCAACCATGCATGTAACAATTCTTCAGGTAACCATATTGATAACTGTAAGTTTGAATAAGCAAAGCTGCCATTTTTGTACATACTGTTTTAATTGTATTAGAAGCTCTAAATTGCAATATTTTTTGATTTCAACTGAATTTTGAAATATGTGTCTATGGGATTTGCCTTCAAATGCAGACATTTCTGTAATATTTTTGTAGAAATCTAATATTTTGTAGCAAAGTTGGGAATGTTCAGATTTGCATTTGATGATATATTTTGAAAATGCAACATCAAAAAGTTTAACAATTGAAGCAGTATAATAGTTCGAGAAGAGTTGTCTGCCATTTAGTGCAGCAGTCAGATTTAGCTGAAGTTAAGAATTAACAAGTGATTTCCCATTGCTTTGAATTTATTCTTAAAGCAATCACTACAAAATTTCGACTGGTGGAAAAGAAACAGAAACACATTTGTAAGTAGTTTTGTAAATAGTTTTCCAAGATAAATATTGAACTAAAATGAAAATATGTACCTAATAACATGTGTGATGTGAAGTAAATAACTTTCTCTTATTTGAAATCATCATTCTCTTTTTCTTTTTCAAAAAAAAAAAAAAAAAAAAAATCACTAAAACTGCACGAACTTTCTTAGTTACCTAGTATAAATGGCTCATGAATTTAGTTTCAATCAGCGACCATCATCTGGAACAAATTTATTTCCCCCCCCCCATCTGGCAGACCTGCCTATAGAAGTATATGCCAAATCACAAACTCACATGTACCTTTAACAAGTTTCATTTCAGGTTGTGGTGGGGGTTCGAACACTTTGTACTATAAATGTAATCAGCATTTGTAAAGTGTGGGCCTAATCATAGAACCAACAAAATGAAGGAATACAAAACAATCTTTAAGTTAAAAGAAATAAAACAGGCTAAAGAATTAAACATCTGTGCTGCAGCAACAGCTTTCAGTAAAATAGATAAGATGGTAAGAGATAGGAGAAAGAATGAAGATGCTACTAAAAAAATGTTATACAAGTATGAGGAGAGGAACAGCTTGCTGGCCAGGTTTAGAAAATAACTCTGCAGAATGAATACAAGAACAGAAGCGATATTTTTATGATAAATATGATTAGGGCTTACGCATTAAGTGGGAACGGACTAATCCAGAGCATGGCAAAGAATTTAAAGCAACAATAGTTTGCCACAATCGTTTCATGAACAGAAAAAAATCTAGTAACATGACAGAAAATAAAAATCATGAGTTCTCACAAGTTTATTATGAGGCAAAATTATAACTTTCCATTATTTAATATTGAAAATATGGATGAAACACTGATGAACTTTGACTTGATAAACAACAGAATTGTGAAAACAAAAGGCGTAACTGTTTAAGTCGTAAGTAAAGGCTATAAAAAGATCAGATTTACAGTAGTATTAATGTGCATGGCAGATGGAACAAAGTTAAAAATCCATGATCAATTTTTTGTTTTAGGAAAACTACTCCTAAAACAAAATTCCTTGCAGAAATTTTCATGAAAAGGAGCATATAGACATGAATACTGTGAAAATGTGTGGCAGAAGTAACCAGGTGCCCAACAAAATCAACGCAGTCACGTAACTGGGAACACTGAAAATCACTTAGCATGGAACTATATTAAGACTGCTGGTATACTTGGTGGTTAACTTCGATGCTACACAGATGCTTGTTTGAATAAACCATTCATGGGTCACTTGCATGAACAATGGACTAACTGGATGATCAGTGGCAAAAAGTCATATATGGAAAAGTAGAGCTATAAGAGCTGCTCACTTGATGCGCTGTGTGATTTCGTGATCAAATTGTTGAAAATAGTGAAAGTAGAAACAGTCATCAAATCCTTCAAAAAGTGTGGAATTTCTAATGCTATGGATGGCACTGAAGACGATTTGTTATGGGATACTGATGATGAAGCAAAAAATGACTTGCTGGATACAGAATGGGACCCATTTGATGAGCTTCTCAACTAATTTTATAATGGTTTTGATTTATATACATTTCAATCTAATTTTTTTTCATCTTTCCTATTAGATGACCTCGGATTTGGGGGAGGGCTTTTTTTAATGATTCAACTAGCATCTTATCTGCAGAAATATATGGTATATATTAATATTAAGCTTTGGAAACATATTTTTATGTATTAGATTATCAAATATAGTAAAAATTTGAAGCCTTTCCATCTTAATACAAGGAGTTCGTATATTTACATTAATTCATCATAATACTAAATATCCGACAAATTAGAAAATGGCTTTGAAATAATTAAAAAAGTATGGACATTTCTGAAGAACTGAAAAATATGTAAAACATACCAAGAGATAATGCAGCATCTTTAATTTCTCTTGTTCCAACTATGAAAGTAATCTCTGCTAAAGTTGTAATGTCATCATCAGCTCGGAAAAATGGATATTTCTTACTTAGCATGCACAATAAGATTACACCAGCTGACCACATGTCTATAGCTATGACAAGGAAAAACATTTTCATTAATCACATAATATGTACCATTATAAACATATTAAGTCTCTAGTGATTAAAACTAAACACCACAAATAAATAGGACATTTATTTATTTTTCATATCTCATATGATATCATATGGTGGTCTTAAAGATGTCAAATATGCATCAGAGTATATTAAAACTGCATGTAATTGACAAAACAAAACCTGTTATTCTTTATATAATATGAAACACTACTAAGCAAATTCATTCTTGTATTTCTTGTATTGCTTCAAATGTAAACTCACAAGTCTGTTTTGGCTTGAACATAATTGTTAGGAAGCAATAGAATTAATACATATTTAAATCCAAAAGTGCAAGAAATTAAGCAGTATTTATGCACTTATGTAATATATTAAGCTGCAAAAGTTAATTTAAAATTGCAACAGCAACAGTACTAATATATATTTTAGCACCATGTAATGTGAATAGTACAAAATATAATGCAAAATGAAGCAAACACACTTACTGTAATCTGAACAACAGATAACAGAAAACACAGTAACATAGACCAGAAAGGCAAATGACTATGTCTACAATAACAATGGACACTGTTATTTAATAAACAATTATCATTAAGGAATTAGATTCAAAATATTAAATAGTTCAAGTTCAATTTGAAAATAGCATGTCATTTAAGCAAAGAAGATTTAATAAATATATGTTAAAATTTCTCTTCTGTTTTACATTTCATACTGAGAATTTTCTCTATTTTCTTTTTCATATTTTTTCTAAAAATATCTGTTTTTACTCATATATTCCTTCCTTTTGCATACTTTCGCCCTTCTTCCCTCAGCATTCATTTCTTCATATGATTTAGAAACTTCTGATTTATGGTGGTGATATAAAATATATGCACAAATAGGAAAACAGTGCAATTAAGTGCTATGAAACACTTATGATGGTGTAGATTAAAAGAATATTAATGAAATTGATAAGTTCTTTGAAATGTGTGTCTTATGTATGCTTTTTAATGCGCCAGAGGTTCCCAACCTTTTTTGGACCACTGCCAAAAAAAAAAAAAATTGAGTGCACCCTCTTCTATAATAGTCAATTATACTAAATATCAAAATATTGTTGCATATTATCTATACCTATTTTATTTGTCTATTTATCAATCAAGAATCACAAAGGAGAAATTAATTAAAATGGCCATCAAATGTAGTAAAAAATATGTATTAAAAATTTTAAACACAAAAGTTTTAAACACAAAATTACTAAGAAATAAAAAAAAAATGAGATGTTGAAAAGGCTGGTGGAATTTTAACAGTTTGTCGCATATTACGATGTTCAGTAATATGCAGTCTGTTCCTTTTCTTAGACAGTAAAATAGCTACTGCTGTATACCCACGCTCAGCTAAATACAACGAAAGAAAAGCAATTAAAAATTTCTGTACTTTTGCCTACAATCCAAGGTATAAAGCTGTTAAGTATTTTTGAAGCAAGAATTCATGGTATTCATCTTTTAATTTTATTTTTAGTTCTTTGTTAGTTGTTAGTTCTACAAGTCTTCTAAATTTGGTGATTCTGCTGTATCTGCATTTGCAAAAAAAATCTAAAACCCAACTTCGTGTATTCATGGTTAAAATATCCTGGAATCGTACTGTGAAATCAGCATGAAGAACATGCAACTATTGGCAGGGAATAAATCTTCCTGTTTTGCAGAGACAGCTTATAATGTGAGAAAGTAGTTTTATTCACATCTGGTGAGATTCCATTTGAACAGAAGTTTTCCCACAAAACCACAAAAAAAAAAAAAAAAAAAAAAAAAAATGACGTTTTTTGTTTTAATCAAATTCAACTTATCAACTTGTAACTATAAATTGATTTCATTGAGTATTTTAAATAGGTTTGTCAAATAAGGTATGTCATTTTTGAATGTACCCAGGTTTCCATGCAGTTTTTCATCTCCACTTTCAAGTCCAGAAAAATGATTCAGTCAAATGGCTTATGACAGCCATTGAACTGTATGCAGGAGCAAGTGTTTGTAATCTTCATCATTTTCACTACAAAGTTCGATAAATACACTAAGGAAGAGATAGAAGCAAAACAAATTTGACTTATTTGTAAAGCTTATTTATTAAACAAAAGGTAAAGAGCAAAAAAAAAAAGAGGCTATATGTTTTATATTATTAAAAAAAAAAAAAAAATCTAATGTGTACACCACATGACTTCCTTGTACGGAATATTAAATTATATGCATTTTTTCTTGCATTTCATTTAACTTATTAGATTGAATTAAACCTACTTTCGCCGACGGCGCATAAACCACAATAGAATAAATGCATTCTTTAAAATTCACTTTGTTTACCACAGCGACACTCTGGCGCTAGGTTTACTTAACAGTATTATATTTCTTTCATATTATAACTCAGAATGCACAAAATTTATATCATTTGAAGAATTCTCTAATCGTTGCCACATGTTCTATTCAAATACTATAACCAAGCTAGAACGATGTATAAAAGAAATTAAGCAAACAAAACGAAAAAGAAACAGTTTTTCACAGACGATTGAGTATTTCTCATTCAATTAATTCAGTTTTCACTTCGCGACAAGGCAAAAATACATAAAAACTCAAAATATCTATATTCAAAATTACGAAGTAAATTTTAAATACTTATTTCCTCGAAAATATTCCAGAAAGGATTAAGCATGATTTAATTCGCAATAATAAATGAAGGCATTATTTTTGTGTTGTGAAGCTTAGTGTCTCTAGATTGGCAACAAATCTACAATTCTGCTGTTTCAAATGTAAACAAATATGTCCGCCATGTTATTTAAAACTTAACCGCACTTAAACAGCTTTTAAATTGTTGATAATTGTACAAATATTGGTTCCAGAATTACGAAAGGCATAAAAACTTTAACCGGAAGATAAAAACAACATAATTCAATCATTTTTAAAGCAAAAAATGTACAATTTACAAATATATAAGAGTAAAGAAACCGAGATCACTGAGCAGGATAACAGAGTGGATATATTTATAAATATATTTATATACGTTTGGCGCGCCGATTGAAACCAAAATACGAGGTGCACATCTACATGTTATAGGAGTCTTATATACAAAATTTCAACATTCTGAGGCTACTCATTTTTGAGTTATGCGAGATACGTACGTACGCACGCACATATGTACGCATGTACATACATATGTTCGTACGCACATACGTACATACGTTCGTACAGACACCACGAAAAATTCTCTTCAGAATTCATTTTAAAGCAGTTTTTGAGTTTTTTTTTGGAGTAAAAGTCTTTTATTCTGTCCTTACGTATAGATATTACGCAAAAACATCGTTAAATTGCATTCGAAATCGGTCAAAGTGGATATTTTCATTGAAATATGCTGCCTGAAGCTTTTAGTGATTACAATACTTCCTTTTTACTTCATACAAGGAAGTAATTAGCGATTTTTTCTCCCTGGAGCAAATTACAAAAAACAACCTATATTCAAAAAACCAATATTACATGGTTGGTATGATTGTTAATACATTGTATGTCTCCCAGACAATGCAATATTGTCCGTACAATGCCTAGGCATGCAGAGTATCAAATTATCGATCTGATCTTCTTCTTCTTATTGATCTGATCTTGGGGGATATTACACCACTCAAAAAGCAATGCTCTCTAAAGTTCCGGTAGACACGTAGGAAGAGGTTGACGGGCTGCAACTCGTCGGCCAAGCATGTCCCACACGTGCTCTACTGGATTCAAGTCCGGTGAGAATGCTGGCCAGTCCAGACGGGTGATATCCTCCGTTTGAAGGCATTCGCTTACGATGTTTGCACGGTGAGAACGGGCACCGTCATCCATAAACCCAAACTGTGCACCTATGGCACTCCGAAACAAATGTACATGTTATTCCAGAATGACGTCCCGATAGATTTGGCTTGTCATGGTTCCAATTTGAACATGCAGGTCAGTTCTGGAACCCAGAATAATTCCACCTCAAACAAGCACTCCTGCACCACCGTAACGGTGTCGTTCAATGATGTTTTCTTGGTGGTAACGGGTACCTGGAGCTCTCCATATGAAAGTCCGGCGAGAATCAGACTGCAAGCTAAACCTGGAATCGTCAGAAAACATCACAAAAGCCCACTGTTACGGTGTCCACAAAACATGCTCTCTACTCCAGGCTAACTGCAGAAGACAGTGAGTTGCAGTAAGTGGAACACATCTGACAGGTCTACGAGCATATAGACCAATCTGCCCTAACCGTCTATACATGGTCTGCCTTGAAATTGTTGTACCAGTGGCTGAGAAGAGCTGACGAGACAGGTCTGAGGCTGTGCTCTGCCTGTTTCTTTTGGCAGTAACTGCCAAATACCAGTCCTCATTTGGCGTTGTAACTCTGGAGCAACCTGTGCTGTAACATCTACTCACATTACCATCATCTTGAAATTGTTGCCAAAGCCTGGAGATGACACTCTGGGCAATTCCAAGTTCGTCTGATACTTCAGTTGGGTACGCCCACATTCCAGATGGCCGATAATTCTACCGTGTAAAAAATCATCCAAATGTGTCCTTTGTGTCATAACTATTCGGTTATTGCACTGAAATGCTTATAAAGCGCCTGCGAACAATTTTACTTCTTTGCCTTTATTCCTTATATATCACTCTCTCACACTCTTGTCATTGTGAAGTACCATCGGTGTCATCTGGTTACTTCCTGAAATTTGCATATGATTCTTGAAGATGTGTGTAGTGATTTTACAGGTGATATATTTATTTTAGAGTTCGATTTCTGCGTGACTCCAAATTATCCTTAATTTATAGACATGAGTGTAATTTGTTGTGCAATGAATTGCTTCTAATTTCATTGACTGCTCTAATAACATAATGAAGCGATATATACAGGCATGCATTCTGATTTGTTGCAACCAAATACTGACAATAAATAATATATAGCAAGTAAATATGGTATTGGTTGTTTCAAATATGCTATGAAACACTTA